TAATGCCATCTTAAATCTTCAAAACACTGAATTATCATCTGCCTATTCCCTTCTACTGTTTAAGAAGAGATCAATCAATAGCAGTTCATGTTTCTGTCCTTTGATTCCCTTGCCAAAGGTGAATCCTGCTGCCCCAAGTGAGAGCAGGCTTTGTGTCTCCCTGAAGCCTCCCTAGTTACTAGTGAAGATGCAGAAACATTTAAATTCTCCTCTCTGCCTGGCACTCCCTCCTCAATTATGAACAACTAAGCCATGTAGCACAGAGGTTAACCCTCCGATGCTCAATACCAATGTATTCTTTTGCATTCTCCCCTTCTAAACTCCAAAGAAACAAACAAAAAGGCACCAAGAGAACCTACTGCAGCTGTCTTGGTGTTTTCAACCCACTAGTAAGTAGCTATGGACTATTGGGCACACTATTCAACTTCACACTAATTGTTCCCTCCCTTTAAAATGAAGTTAATAACAGTAGCTTCCTTCAAATCATTCAGTAAACATTAAATGAATCCACATGTGCAAAGCACTTGAGGTAGGAACTGACCCTTAGGAATCACAATTGAAAAGTTACCTTTCATTTCATATTAAAATTAAATTCAGTTTGCTTCAACCATTTGAAGGCAGATTATCTGTACCATAGTTTCTTCTGAGAAAGCAAGAGTTGTATAATAGGTACTCAAACCCAACAGACAAGCAGTAGAGTCTGAATTTAGCTGCATTACATTGAAAATTGTATTTACCCCAGGCAAGCCTCAACTGCATCCTGGAAAGTTGTAGCAACATGTCCCAGAGTTGATATGAGAAGAGTAGAATGATCATATTGGGCATAAAATAGACATTGAGTGTTACAGCTTCAGATACATAAAAATCAAAGTGCATTCTTACTGGTTTGCCTTTTATAGACTCCAATAACGCAGATTGACCTCTAATCTGCTATATAGCTGAGGACTGCCTTGAACATCTGATCCTCCTGCCTCAGCTTCCTGAGTAGTGGTTGGATTACAGGTCTGTGTCATCATGGCAGTTTTGCATGGTGCTGGGGAACTGAACCAAGAGTTTCATGAATGCTAAGCAAGTACTCTCTCTGCAAATTGAGCTACATCCCCAGACCCTGACTTGTGTTTTCTGACAAGAGACCATACTCCTGTTCTGCTGATCCAAGCCGTACTGTCTCTCCAGCAGGTTTAAAAGAGCCCTCAGGCCCAATCCTTGTACGATTTACCTTCCAGCCCCTGATTTCCCAAATTGGTTCCCTTTGTCAAGACCTCATCTGTTATTCAAAACTGTCTTCTAAATATGGCTCCAATTATTGAAACCGTAAAGACTCTCCCAATGATTATGGACTTAATAGGTTTGTTAATATTAAAGGCTTTCCTTGACCAAGACCCACAGAAAATCAGCGATATGAAACTGAAGCAACTGCCGATGAAAGTGGAAAGCACGGCACTTCAAAGACAACTCAATCAGGCACCAAAGGAAGTAGCCAAGTCGCCTGTGGGTGCAGGACATTTTTGTCAAAGAAAAATCACATACCAACTTGTACCAAGTTTTTCTTTGTAAAACAATGATAGAAACTTACAGTTCTACTTAGAAAACAGTAAAGCTAGATGCACCTTCAGGATCATTTCTTCTACGTCACACATTTGCATGAATAAACTTATGAGTGGCTTACTCATGACCACAAAGGCAGGGAATGCTAGCTATTTCTAGAGCCCTGGTCCCAACTGCTGTTTTGTTTGACACAGATTTTACTATGGAGTCCAACCTGGCCTTGAACTCACAACTTTCCTGACTTTGATTTTCTACTATTGATATGATAGACACTACCACACCAGGCCATATTTTGTTCTATCATCCTTTCTACTACATATTATGCCTTACTCCTTCTGAACCTCAGACTCTGGCCCCACAATGAGTGTTCTAAGCAGCCCCATAATTTTCTCATTCTATTACTCAAACCCAGATTGTTCACTTTAAAGGAAAGTAGATCACAAATGTATTTCACACCAAAGCCAAAATGCTCCACACGTTTAACCTTAAAGAAAACCATCCCCAAAATGTGCCCACCATCCCTGATCAACCATTCTGAATGCATTTTAGGCTTGTGCATTTAATGTTCCAGGTAAATGTCATCAGCCACCTTGAAACAGGTCATTTCCTGCTGATCAACAGTCCTTATCAAGGGTATAGGCAGTTGGTGTGTTCCACCAGGTCCGTAACTGCTGGAGATGCCCTAGCTCCACATTCCTAATTGCTTAAACAAATGGTTTCCATGGATGATTAAGCACTAGAGTGAGCCCTGTGCCTGCTGATAACTAAAATGCATCCACATAGTTCCAGGAGCATGGCGTGAGAAGCTGAGAGAAGCGTGGTGAGCCTGAAGACAGGTGTGAAGGTCAGATCATTCTGAGAGGAGGGGAAACGAAAGAGCACCGGCAAGTGTGACAGATGGGTCTGGCAAGAACACTCCAGTGTTAATGGTATTTTAAGTCTCAGTTATAATTATACTGAGAAGCTTTTGACAAAGGCATCCCTAAATGGTAGTTGAGGAGCATTGAGTTGTTGAGAAATGGTCTCATAGTGTCATGTTATACCTGCTTCAGCAGCTTTCTGTTGCATATGCATTAAACACCCAAGCACTCGAACACTGTTTTCCTGCCCCAAGTCCAGGAGATACCGAGAAAGGCTATCTTAAGGGTAAAGTGAGAGCAAAACTGACTTAATAAATGAATACATCAGAGATGGCTGTGGTGAACTTCATCCCTCACGCTCACTGTTCTGGAGTGCATCTGCAACCCTGACCTGGAACTTCAAGAAGACTCCCCATAATTGAATAAGAAGACTCCCCAACATTGAATAAGAAGATCCCATTCTCTTTGGCTAGAGAGGAACTGACTTTGAAGAAAAATCCTAGCGATGATACATCCTTCTTTCTTTTGACTTGCCTTCATGGTGGACTGTGAAAATCCAATGACCTCTCCTATTCTCCGATCTTTAAAATAATATATGGTTCCCTCCTATTTAGATTATAGCTAAACTGATATGAGGAGCTTAAGATGCATGCAATCTTATCATTTTTCAATATTGTCTAGCAGTGAGTAGGGAAATTACCACTGCTGCCAAATATCTAGAACACACATATCACCAGGAATCATGATGTAAATATTTTTTGAGATAGAGGTTTGGTAGAGGGATTGTGACCCACAGGCTGGGGACCTCTGTCCTACTATATACTACAGAATAATATCATTATAGCTATCACAGGGCATGAGTAAATGACCCTTGGAAGTGAACTTGAAAAGTTGCCTTCCTATTCCTATGGTGCTGAGTGGGATCATGAGGTAGGAGAGAGTCTTAAGATTCATTTTGCAAGAATAGTTTCTGTCTCCACTGCTTAACTTGGCAGACACATGGGAGCTAAGGGAATGCCCCTCCCTGAACTCATCTATGGTCACTGAGTAGAAATAAAATCATGGATGTGTGTCATAATAACTGGTTTCAAGGGCAAAAATAAGTTGTGACTCTGATGAAAGGTGATACAGAGCAAAGCCAAGCAATGGTCTTCTTTTCTCCCATTCCCTTCCAACTGAACTGTGTCCCTGAGGTGAGGTACCCACTGCCATTAATGTCTGAGTCTCCATCTGAAGGCAACTTCTGAACAAGTTCACAAACTGAGAACTTAACATCTTCTGGCTCCTCCCATTCTGTCCACAGTACCCAGACACCAAACTGGAATTCCTTGCCTGTCTTCCTTTCCTCTAAAGAGCCTTAGTTATTTCCAGCCTGACTTCTCACTTCTTGATCCTCCATTGTTTTAGTTAGGGTTTCTATTGCTGTGACAAAACACCATGACCAAAATCAAGTTGGGGAGGAAAGGGTTTATTCAGCTAACATCTCTACATCCATAGTTCATCACTGGAGGAAGCCAGGAAAGGAACTCAAACAAGTCAGGAATGGGGAGGCAGAGGCCCATTGAGGGGTGATGCATACTGACTTACTCCCCATGGCTTGCTCAGGCTGTTTTTCTCTTTTCATTTCCTTTTTATTTTATTTTGCTTTGTTTTTTCCTCTTTTTTATTTAAGTTAGAAACAAGCTTGTTTCACATGTCAATCCCACCTCCCTCTCCCTCTCCTACCTCCCCGCCCTCCCCACCAGACCTCCCAGCCCCCCCCACAATCTCCACTCTGATCCCCAGAGAATGTGAGGCCCTCCAGAGTCTGTCATTTCATCCAGGGCAGGGTCTAGGCCCTCCCACAAGAGTCCAGACTGAGAGAGCATCCCTCATTGTGGGATGGGCACTCAAAGTCTATTTGTATGCCAGGGATAAATAACTACCCAAGACCCCATAGATTACCTAGGCCTCCTTGCTGACACCCACATTCAGGGAGTCTGGGTCAGTCCCATGCTGTCCACCTAGCCATCAGTCTGGGGTCTAAGAGCTCCTCCTTGTTCAGGTCAACTGTTGCTGTTTTCTTATAGAACCCAGGACCACCAACCCATGAAAAGTGGGGTAGGGCCCTCCCACATCACTAATTAGAAATACACTCTACAGACTTGTCTCCAGCCTGATCTAATGGAGGTATTTTTAATTGGAGTTCCCTCCTCTCAGATCATCTAGCTGTGTCTAACTAACATAAAACTAAACAGCACAATTGACTCCTTGTCAGCTTGGCACACATTTTAAGATGTAACCCCTCTCTCATCCTCAAGATCTCAGATTGATAATATCACAAATATAACACATACTACAAATTTACATGACCCATAGTCTTTATCAGTGCAACACTGTGCAAGTCCAGTCTCTATAAAAATTCACTTTCTTTTAAAATCCAAAATCTCTTTAAAATTTAGTCTTTCAACTATGGGCTTCTATAAAATCAAACCATATGTTAAATACTTCCTTACTTCAAGAGGGAAGTACAAGGGCACAGTCACAACCTGAACAAAGGAGAACCATACCACATCAGTGTAAACAACTCAATTTTCGATATCTATGACTTACTCAGTTACTCTGGGCTCCTCCAAGGGATTTGTGTCACTTCTTCAGCTCCTCCCTCTATAGCACACACAGCTTTTCTTCCAAGCTTGGGTCATCCCCACTGCACTGCTGCTGCTGTTCTTGGCAGCAATCCTATGGCACTGCCATCTCCAGAAAGCTGGGGTCTTCTACTGCAGCCGGGCTGGACTAATGAAGGCACCAGTAGCCTCTGCATGGTTCAAAGTCTCAGCTGTTGTGCATGACCCCTTCAATCCTGGGTCTTCCATTGCTTATCCAGCTGTACCTTTGCCAATAGTCTCTCCTGACCTCTCAGAGTACCAAGCCTCAGCTCTTCTCCATAACCCTTCATGCCTTCAAAGCCAATGGCACCTGAGAGACTCTTACACACAACAAAGTTTGACTGCCAGCACAAGGTACATGCAACCTTGGCCACCTATGAACACAGCTTGCATGTGATGACTCAGAGGAAACATTTCTCAGAAGATTTACCTCATTGACGCTGGCTTCTTATTAATCACAGCTGATTCTTCAGCCCCGGCTGACCACGGTCCGAGCAAAACACAGGTTTGAATTGAGTGGTTCTTTTTTCCTGCTAACCACAGCTGATGCTTCAGTTCCAGCTGATCAGCTACCAGGGAGTCTTCATGCAAAGAGTTAGGTAGAATCATTCCTTCTCTCTGAAACTTTACAAGCCAGTCCTCCATCATCTGCCTGCTCTCAGTTCTTATCTTCCAAGTCCCAACAGAAGAGCTCGCTCAATGGCTTTTCTAGCCCAAAGAACCAAAGTTCTTCCGGAATCCTCCCAAATGCAACATAGTCAGATCTGTGACAGCAATCCCCCACTATCCTGGTACCAATTTGTCCTTATAGGAGTACTACTACTATGATGTAAACTGGGGCAAAAGGCTTATTTGACTTACACTTCCACATCCACAGCCCATCACTGAAGGAAGTGCATCACTCAAACAGGGCAGGAACCTGGAGGCAAGAGCTGATGCAAAGGCCATGGAAAGGTACTGCTTACTGGCTTGCTCCTCGTGACTTGCTCAGACTGTTTTGTTATAGAACTCAGGATCACAAACCCAGGGATGGAACCACCCACAATGGACTTGACCCTCCCACATCATCCACTAATTAAGAAAATGCTCTACAGGCTTGCCTCCAGACCAATTTTATGGAGGCCTTTTCTCAATTATGTTTCCCTCCTTTAAGTTGATTCTAGCCTCTGTCAAATTGACATAGACTCTGCCAGAACATCCCCGCAACTGCCTAGGAATATGTTTTTGTCTGCCAAAGCTCATCCTAATGCTACTTGCCTTGGTCCCCCTAGAACACTGATGTGTCCCTTCTGATTATGCCTACAATAAGCACACCTGCCATGCTCATTCCTACTCCATTTACTAACACATCTTAATGATGTGTCTCCTTGACTAATGACTGCTGTGAGCATCTGTCTTGTTCTGCTTTGCATCCACAATCCCCAGAATGATACACTGCCCATGGTGGACCGTTAGTGAATGTTTTATGGATGGGAAGCTGAAGCTGACTGTGTCTCTGCAACCAACATGGATCTATCCTTGGTTCCTGGGGTGGGACTGAATCCTTGGTCTTTGGGTTACCTTTCTGTTTCCCCCAGTACAGAAGAACAGCTATTTTTTTGCATTAAGAACACCATCAGGAATTGTCTTGAACTCGTTCTGCTTTAGCTTCTGTGGACTACAGAGATGATTATCTTGCACAAGTCAAAAGGGGAGGAGCCTCAGTTGCTTCTGGAAATGAATCTACCATGATGCACCAGCCAGGTGCTTACTTAATAAGGAAGATGATCTTGGAAGAACTGATGACATGGAAGGGAATTTGAACACAGTCCTCTTATAATACAGAGGGCTAGGATTATCAGGATAATTGGCAAGGCAGACATGTGCATATGCATACCATGTGTAATGATGCATATAGATTATATGAGTAGCATCGTGGAAGAACAGAATCTTTAAGGGTAAAGCAAAAGCCAGAAGGACAAAGGCAACAGGCAATCTAATCCACTTAATGGGGCAAGAAGCTCAGAGCGGAGCCACAAATGCATCATTTGATAATGGTAATGAAAAAGACAGCAATCTATATGTACAAATAGCATTAAGGTAGATTTGGTTTAGAGGCCAAACTAAGTTGATGTGAAATTTACGAGACTGACTGTCTCTCAGATATGCTTGGTGAGGGAGTGGGGTGCATTCAATTCCTTTTATTTCCTTTGGAAAACACTAGAAATTAGATTTTGTTTCCAAGGTGGGCTTTCCTAATATGTGGAGCTTCATTTTTCTTTTTTTTATACATAGCAATTAATCATTTGTTTCCCAGGCTTGAGTTGATGATGAGGCTGCCAATTTTATGAGTGAGGTCTATTTAAGGATGATTCAGAGTATTGTATTTCCTGTCCAGTGTTTGTGGCTCCTGCAGAAACACAGAGAGAGAGAGAGAGAGAGAGAGAGAGAGAGAGAGAGAGAGAGAGAGAGAGAGAGAGAGAGAGTGTTGCAGGTGACTTCAGCTATAGTTTGTACCAGGACACGTGTCTGAATCTTAACAGCTGGTTCAAGGAAATATTTATATTCTAAATGTTTCTTGATGATTTGGAATGTGTGCTTCACAACTGCAAATCCCATTATAATATTCCTGTGTAAAAATGCTATTGGCAAGGGGCTTCCCTTTCAAGCAAGATTCTCAGACATTCTCCACGGTAATGACAGCCCACTGCATTACACATATGCAGGGTGCATTAAGCTTTTTCTGCTCTGGATGCCTCGGTTGATATCAGGTGGCAGGCACAGAGGGTAATCAAGTCTGCTTTCAACCCAACCGTGTGCTGATGGACTTCGCTTCCCGCCGCACCTGGGTTGAAAGGCGATCTCACCTAGTGTGCAGCACACATCGCGAGCAAGTCAGATGCCTCAGCAGAAGCTGTGAGCTGGTCCCAGCTGCCTGAAGCAGGAGGATTTTCTCCATCCCTGTTCCTAATTCAGGAAAATGGAAAGCAGGTGGAGAGACAAAGGAGAGAGACGGCCTGAACATGTATAAAGTATGAGACGCATGTAGGAAAATGGCGCCATGAAGCATACTACTTTCTATGCAAACAAAGGTGTAACAATAAAGAGTGTATATGACTATAACCGTGTTAGAGGTTTGGAGATATATTTGAGGAAATCAGTCTTTTCTAATGTCTTCCAAAGATCTAAGTTGCTTTATGGGAAGTCCTGTAATGAGCAGTCACATCGCGACTTAATCCACACACCTCACCATCCCTCCTTCCTCAGCAATTCTCTCCTCCCCTCCATCCTCAAACAGCCCAAGGCACAGGCACCTGAGCTTCATGCCCAGTATCATATTGGCTCATTGCTTCTGAAGGAAAAAAATCACAAGACTGCTTTAAATACTGATCCTTCTGCTCTCTGTTTCTGGTAACTTCCTCTTGGCATGATTGCCAGAGTAGATATCTCTACAAGGTCTATTCTCATATATTTCTACAAATTCCACGCTTCCCAAAGATCCAACCCTACTCCTTTTCTTTATCCCAAACACCCACCTTCTCACGCCTCGTACTCACCGTATCTACTGGATTCTGGTCCTTATATCTAGAACTCCCATCTCCATGTGTATCAGAGTAGCAGTCTACCCCAATGAGAATTCATCTGAACCATATGGTTTTTTCCTCTATCCCTAGTATTGGAGGGCAGAGACAAATGGCTCTCTGAGGCTGCTTTGCCAACCAGCCTAGTTAGCATGGCTCCAGACTCAGTAAGAGATCCTGACTCAAAAAATAAAATGGAGCGCAACTGAGGAAGACACCTGCCAGCCATATCTGGCCTATCATTTGTCCTGTGGTCACTAGTTTCGAGGAGCCCATCTCTGATTGCGACTCATTGAATGCATCTGAGCAGTTAGTTATCAGCACGAGATATTTAACGTGTTTTCTTTTTGTTTCTGAGCTTACCGAGACATAAAACACCAAAACTTCCACTTTTGAGACTGCCCCGAAAACTGCCTTCAATGGGGCAAAATTAATTCCCTCTTTGCAAGCAAGCAGAGGCCTCCTAATAACATCACAGCTGATGTAATCAATTCTCAGTTGTTTGGTGATCTGGATGAAAAAATAGTTGTTTCTTCTTTTTCTAACTGAACATTCTTCAGGATGAGGAGGGAGAAAAATGGTGCTGGAAACAGAATCTCTTTGCATGGTTTTGAATTGCTTAAACAAAATACATGAGGCTGGGCAATTTATAAAGAAATTTATTTCATTCAGCTTTGAAGGCTGGGTCTGAGACCACACGGCCTCAACAATTTAGCCATAGGCAAGGACCCCTTTGGTGGCATCACCACATGGCAGATGGCAGCATGGCAATAGCATCTGTGAGCAAGAGATCATGTGCTCAGTAGCTTCTACTGAGTCAAATAGTCAGGGAGAGCAAGAAGAGATCAGTTTTGACCTTATTACTGCAATCTGCTCTCTTGTTAACTAAACAGGGTCTTGGGAAACCTGCACTAATTCAATAAAAAGATAGCTTGCCCATGGTCCAATCATTCCCCACCCCAGGCTCCAGCCAAGCTTCAGCGCCACTCTACCAAGGTCAGAGCTATAGAGCTTGAAGTTTCAGGGGCAAACCAACTATAGCCACAGCAGGCTATTCCTAGACTCACTGTGGTTCCATCCAGGCCCATCAAAGTCTGACGGCTTCCAATTAATAGTGTATTTTCAGAGAAGATCAGCTTCAATCCATTACCATCTACAACTGAGAGCCTCTCCTGGAAGTACTCCACCATCTGTTCACACCACAAATACACCTCCAAGTTAAGCAGTGTGCTCTCACACACAGCGTCACACAAGGAGGTATACCTGCAGTGGCTGCCCAAGAGGTGATGTTCTCGTGGTACTTTTAAGAGTGGTGGGCCCTTCCTTACCATTTCTGCACATGACTTCTTGGGAATTAGGGTGAGCTAGAAGCTGGTTGCCTCTGCACTTTGCACTACAATCTATTTCAAGGCTTTGAGTATGCCTAAGTGATGGTCCTTTTCTCTACAAAAAAATCTCTAAACTGAATTCTTGGGGTTCAAGTAGGCATCCAGACTTCAGAGCATGTGAGAGCATGGGCCTAGAAGGATGATGTGGCACTGCTCTGGGATTCCAGTCCTCTGACACCCTTTAAACATTCACTACCTAGAACACCTTTGTGATTCCAGAGGCGTGATGGCTTAGCATTCACTCACTCAAAGCCTGGGACATCATTCTCCAGTTCTTATGCAGCCTCCAGGCTTTGAATGAGGTTCTCTCAGATCCCCCTCTGCCTTGGCTCCTCCTCTGCCTTGGCTTTGGGGATGACATTCATGAACTCCTCCCCTGGAGCACCGCACTGCTCACTCAGCCGACTCCCCTTCCTTCCTCAGCCCATCTGCTGAAAGAAGAGGCTGAGGAGTGGCAATGGCCATACCACGTACACTTGTCTGCCTTCTCTGGGAATTCCTGGAGGAGGGCTGCTGGCCTTGTGTACTGGGTGTGTTTGGGGTCCGTCTTCTTCAGCTTTATCTTATATACAGTCATAGCACTGGGGAAAGAGTGTGTTACAACTATTTTAAACATTTTTTACTGTAGAGATGTAAACTTCTGTGTATCTTGTCACTGTTTCATTATACATATATATATGATAGAATATATAGAAAATATATTATAGAATATACAGAATATATTTTAAAGTATTGGCTCCCTGCATATGCTAGAAACCCTTTAAAGGAATACATCCTCTTCCTATTCTGTCTCCATTTCTCAGCACAGTCTGGAGCATCTTTGTGGGCGTGCAATCAGTGTCTGCTATATGCTTCCCTAATCCCCAACGAAGCTAAAGGAAAACCCCAGCATCGTGAGATGCCAAGCTCCTCATTTTTCAGAAGAAATCCAGGCCCAGAAAGATGAGGTCATTTATCCAAGGGCACACAGCTAGCTGGGATTCCATTTCTCATACAAATTCATACACTTAATGGTGCCGCAGAAGCAGAAGCAAGCCAAGCACATTT